GTGGCAAAATAAATACATTTTATATTTTTATTAGTCCGTGTATAGTGTGTATATTTGACATAGTACTGTTAGTCAAACTGCTAACATTTGCAGACACTGAAATGATTCACCATGGGTTGCTTGTTCCCCAGCTGTAGAGGGTGTTGCATTCATGGTCCGTTCTACTGTAGAAATTCTAAAATAAGCGTGAATTGTGATTCTTTCAGTTTTTGTCCGTGTGACTCAAACGACCACAGATGACCTAATGTCTGACCTACATGTGGCCCCCGGGCCTCTATTTGAATAAGCTGGAAACAAAGCCATCGCTGTATATACCATAAAGACCCAGTCCGTTTCCATTATTCACACTATGGTAGAAGTAGCTGTTTGCTTATTTTGTTACTGTACAGCCGTGAACAGCAGGGAACTGAGCAGCCATCTGTTACTGTATACTGAAGGGCAGGAGGGAAGGACCATTTTTCTTCACACTATATCATCACTAGAAGGTGCTGGGACAAATGCACACACACTAATTTGTGACTTTGACATTTTTCCATCTTGTTGTGTTGTTCAGTCATTTACCTGAGGCAGGCTGCTAGAAACACTTGAAAGTGGAAACAAGATTTAAAACATTTGTTTAATTTCACACATCATTGATTTCTCTCCCAGAGAATTGAACATCTACATCATTTTCTGCAGTTTGCGTAGCAATTACGCAAAGTACCAGTTATTGCACCCATTAAAACGCACAGTATACGCACAATATATGGCATTACATAAACTGCAAGAGCAGTGACGTGGTAATCCTGGTTTCATGATAGATTTTAATTCTATTTTCAGCAGCATCCATTCCTTTTGCACACACCCACACACAAACACACACGCTATAGGCAAACACCAGGGGATGTTAGCTCTGTAGCATTCAGTGCTGCTTCATGCAACCGATGGAATTTTATTACTGAACAAATACACAACAGTCCAAAAGTATCTACAAGTTTTCTGTACATTTTTGTCTCTTAATTACTTTTCATCTTTTACTTTTATTTTCCTGAATGTGACCATGTTCCAGTATGATTAAAGGTGTTTATGCGGATATATATGTACATGCACAACAATATGGACTAACCCACATGAGCCACAGCACATATATTACAGTAGCAAAATCTCACTGTATAAAAGGTATATGCATAGTATATTTAAATAAATAAAATGATCTTCAAGCTTAAATTAGCTTACAATACTCTTGAAAACAAATCTGAGCCTGTTTAGTTGAACACATTCCTGGTATTCTCGCAGGAATTGAAGAAAGAAATATGACAATCTTTAACAACTCTAAATCTCTTTTTTTAGTGTCTTACAGCCATTTGCTGCCACCTAGTAGGAGAGTATTAAATTGTTAAATTGAAAAATACTTTTGAGAGAAATCAAGTGAAACACACCTGAATTACAACAGAATAGAAAGACAACCAGCCATTCACACTCACATTCACACCTACAGTCGTTGTACACTGTCTGATCGGCCCCAAACCATCAACCTAGTGATCGTCTTGCTGCACATACTGTACACTCATTATATATTAATTTGCAAATACATATTGCATTTTTCTTTATTTTCTTTAATCATTTCCTGTGCTGAGCCATCCATCCCATAATTCATCAGCCACTTGACGCACAGTCTCAAGGTCATTGATTAAAAGGCGTAACATCCATTAAACTAATCAATACTCCTGTTTGTCACCTTCTGGCCATGACCTTTGTGTAGGTTTGTATATCTAGGGATGAGCAGTGAATCTGTAGCAGAGAGATAATGAGTCTATTGTCACTTAAACAGTGGGGGCGGGTGATTAGAGGGAAACAGGCAGAGGGACGGGGAGGAATATTAAACGAGTTTGTCTCCTGGAACACTGCAGCAGACAGGTGGCAGTAGAGACAACAGATACAGACTTTTTTTATTAAAAATTGTAAGCAAATGTTCAGCTTTCATCTTAAAGCGTTACATCAGCAGCATCACCGTAAATGGAGCAGATGGAGCCTCAGATCTGTGTGTCTCTGTGTGGCAAAACCTGCAGTGGTCCTTCAGTCCACTCTTTATTCTTATTCATGGACACCAACGCAGCAGGTAGTCGGCTAGGGGCCCGTCTGAAATATTCCTCTCTCCTCATTTGTCTGTTTACTAAGGGTGTGCTCTCTCACTCCCAATGGGGAGTAGAGAAGGTGTCAGCACGTTGACGGAATATGGACTGCACCATTTAACACAGACAAAAGGGGGGATGAGTGAAGAGAGGAAGTTGGATCATTGAGGCTCAATTGCACAGGAACACCCCCCCGACATGGATCAGATTTTGCCCACTAGTGTTCATCAGCATGTTTAACATGTGACCTTGGTAACCTGGATCTGCTGAGACTGGACTGAAGGTTTTGGTGCTGAACGGATGATGAGGATTTCCATATTATCAAATATATAAAAATAAATACCATTCAATGAAGTGGTGCTGCATCACATCAGCATACGTGTTTTTTCACCTTCGATGTTCTCTTGAATCACATTATTGCATATGACAGCAATCAGTGTCCATTTAGTGAGACCTCAGGAGTCTACAGAAGCAATTTAGTCTTAAGAAGCTCAGTCAATCACTCCCCGGCCTAACAGCCCATTACCCCTCCATTCCGCAGACTAATACGTAATCTAATATAAAGAACATGTGAAATATTTAGGCTGCTTTAAAGGCCTTAATTCAGTTTCTCTCTCAGCAGCCGTCTGTGACTAAGGAGTAAAATTAAAACCCTCCACTCAAGGTCAAGGCTGCGTAGACTTTGCTGTGAAAATAAAATGTCTTCTTTTTCTTTTGCGGCGCAATCAATCGCTCATGTACTCGTTGTAATGTAGGTCTTTTATACCCTCCAATGATCCCCCAGCTTAACTTGGGGAAAAATATGAGCAGGGTTAAAGCTTTAGGATGAGTGATGCCACAGCCTGTCCACCGCACGCTGCAGCTCACTCTGTTTAAGGCAGTAATAAAGTGGGTGATAGCCGATCAGATCAGCCATATGTCAGGACGGAAACGCAGCACTGTGATCATTTTTCTCTGGACGTGTGGCTAAAAGTCATAAACTTCAGCAGCTCACTCTCAGTCAGACTGCTAACACCAGTACTGTTTATAGTTGACAGAATGGGGCGGGGGGACGGAAACAAGCTCACACTGGGAGAAGCCATCATATGATCACTGGTTGCTTTGGCAACTGATCCCAGCAGTCAGCTCTTGGAAGGTGAGTCACATGAGTGAATGTCATGTTGATGAAAGTGTACAGTGTTTGTGACTGTGTCTGAGGGTGTTTCTGTTGTTGTCATGTGATGGAATCAGAGATGTGTGTGTGGCGTCGCTGTGGCCTGACACAGTCTCTGACTATAACATTCCACTCATGTTACAGTAGGAACAACAACTCCGGAACAACAACAGCAAAAAAACAAACAAACAAACAAAAAAACAGGACGAAGACAAGAGAGCCATGGTATAAAAGCTTCTGAGAAATACTGACGAACCAGTAGTTCAGATTTAATCTGTAAATACTCTAATCCCTCTAACCTCGTTTGACACAGACTTTCTGAAAGCATCATTTTCCCTCTCTAATCGTTGTGGTGACAGACTGGAAGAATGTTGTTATTAAGCCGCTCCCAAAAACAATGCAAAACAATTTACACTGAAATTTCCCGTCCCACCGTGTTCACAGGATCATCCTTGGATTTTATGGAGAGTTTTTCCCTGATTTGACTTGGAAACCATTTATAATGAATCTACACAGAAGAACAGAGCTAAACATTGACGCTCCACAGCCAGAAGGTCATCTGACTGGCACAGATGGTCATTCTGGACACGTTCTCCCTCTGGGTCTTCAGCAAATGCTCTGGTTGTTCCACAGTTCCTAAAAGTTATTATGACAATTGGACACTCACAGTCGACTATAAGTATAAAAGTAAATGTAAGTGGTTTTAGACCCTATGATTTGGAAATGTGCAGAATATAGGATTTGACACCCTCTAGTGGTGAAGTTACGTAAGGACACGTTATAAGTTAGTTAAATTGTGACTCATTGATTTTGGCCCAAACAAACTACTTGAGTGGTTTTACTATTAGACAGGAACATTAACTTGTTTAAGAACGTCATAATAGTCGGCTAGTTTAATATCTTTGTGTCGTTTGTGATGGTAAGCAGGGGCTACAGGTTTGCAGACACAACAAAATTCTTTATTAGATAAGAAGTCCTGTATTTGGCCCATATTGGGGACATTTACAAAAAAAAAAGTTTCCATTACATTAAGAAAAAATGAACTGAAAATTGGATGAAGTTATAGATTAGGAATGTAAGTATGGATGAATAAATGAATGAATGAATGAGTCGTGCCTTCATTTACACACATGTAATATAAAGTGGACAAAGATCTCCTGCAAAGATCTTTGTTTTGCAGAATAAAACAGCCAAGCCAATATAAAACAATAAGTAGACCACCTCCACAGGCGTGATAAAACACAAAACGTCTGCAGCAGTGGCAGACACAGCCAAGGGCAGAATAAATTGCTGCTGTCAGAGAGAAAAATGACGATGGCACAAACTACCTGCACCTCCCTCTCCCCCCCCAGGACGAAGACAAGAGAGAGTTTTTTTACACCTGTTGTTTTCAGGATCATTAGAACACTAACTGACATCGACTGACATTTCTGTGACAACAATTAGCCCCTGTAGTACTACTATATAATGGAAATACTGCACAGTATATATTATGTGTTAGATTTAGGGCTGTGTTTAAATATTGTTTGGTGACGTTTGACTTGTGGTTGTCATCACAATGTATTACAATGTTATATACAGTATGGGACCAGTTTTATGACCTACTTTAACGTGTCTCAGTTAACGGTGTGTTGCATGTATTCATTTAGTTTTCAATCTAGTTAATGTGAGACAAATTGAATGAAGTTGCAGGGCTGCAGGGGGGTGAGGCCGGGTTCAGATGGGGAGTGGGGGGGGCAGCACGACTAACCATGGCTTCCCTTGCACAGGCACGTATTCAATCCTGTTTTTGATTGAAAGCTACCTGTACGTGATGCTCATGTTTTCCTCCAGAGAACACTGCAGATGTTCTTTTGGACCAGCTGCTGACGTCAGCACGAGCGGGTGAGTCAAACCTGCGTCACACTCCGTCGTGACTCTCCATAGTAATGTGTCCATGTATTCTGTGGGCGCCTGATTTATCCCACAAAACACGGCCGCACGACCACGTGGAACCGAGGAGCGGTGTGGGCTGCTCCCCCATCAGTGGACTCTAAAGTGAGACTAACGACAAACCAGCACCTGCGCAGGTTCTTGCTGTTATAGTGGCGGGCGTGTTGAGATATTGCGTCACGCTTTACGCACCGTGATGCGCCCCGTGTGACTGGAAGCTCCGTGGTTTGGCTCCTGTTTGCGCGCAGATATGTTACACACAGACAGAGACAGTGTTTGAATGAAGATACTGCATATGCTCTGTGGATTTATGCAGTGACGGCGAAGTGGACGGTACCTCCGACCCTGCAGAGTACACGAGGTAAGATCGCATATACATATACACATATTTATACATTTTCTTAACCGTCCACGGTTTAAATACACGTCCGCTACCTACGTAGAATCGACACCGCTGCGTTCTGGATTCCTCGGACAAACTGCGATTGCGTCATCACCCATGAAACAATTACATTTATGCGAAATAGTGTCAGATTTCATAACCTGGGTGTTGTCGTGGATTGCTGTCCTCAAATTAAGTTTGACGACAGAGCGCGGCGTAGTTCCAAATCTGGCTCGGAAACGATGCTCTCTGGGGCAGATGGTCACGTGATGACGTGTACTGGTGCCGCTCACGCTGGCTTCCTTATTATCAGGAGATTCATTTGACCTTGACAAGGCATCAGAGGTTGCATCCACACTGGAGTGAGTCCTGGAGCCACGGTGCGTGGGCCCGTGTGTGATAAACGTGTCTCGAGGACGCACGGACACGGCCACACAGGTGCACCTCTGGTACTTGTGCCAATCACTGTTTGGACTAGGATCAGAACCTGGTCTAGACCGAGTCTAGATGTTTTTCCCATCACTTGCATCTGTTCAAATTTGATCTTTATTATTTGATGATTTCACACTGACTTGTCTTCAGCCTTCAGTGAAGACTCTTTCTGTGATGGCTGCCTGATGCAGACTGCGGTAGATAAAGTGTCGCCATCACCACAGTGTTGACGCTGTCCTTCAGGAATATTCCTGCCTGGCTGTTTAAAGAGCAGGGATGGCAGACCATGAGGCTGCTGCACGGACGGGCTTTCAGTTTTTGCAGGATGAGCCATTGCTTAGCAACCAGATTAGAAAAAATGGAGCACATCTTTGTAGCTGAGGGACAGAAAAACCTGTGTGGGTTTATAACCACCACTTCAGAGTCTGGAAGACATAGCTCCAGGAAGGCTGCCTCCTAGAGGCTGGGTGAACATGTCACCTGGATCTGTTTCCACTCCTCCTCCTCCTGCTCTGAAGAGAACATGCTTTTCATGAACAGGGTTTTTGAAAAGCTCTAATTCCCTGCATCCAGTTGTCTTCAGTCTGACAGGGAGGAAAACGGTTCGTGTTCGTGTTGTCATCACATGGACAGCGATTACTCATTTCAACTTGAATGTAATGATGTGTCTTGAATGTCTGATGTGTTCAGTGTGCCATCTGTGTTCCTCCATCAAACTGTTCGTCCATCACTGCTAGAACTTCTTGATATTACAAAACACGCCTGAGTGTGAACTGAGCCTCGTGTGATTCGTAGACAGAGGATTCAGTTGCATTTGTACAAATGTATTGAGCGCATTATTTTACACAGTCTTTATAATTATTATATATATACTTTAAATTACATTAACTTTTATTGTATTTGCTATGCTGCTCCACTAAGTTTATAATCTTATATAACCTTATTATTTATCATTTCAAGTTTTCTTCAAAGATTATTAAACATTCTAATTATAATTCTTATTAAATAATCATACTACAATCAGGTCAGTTTCAGCTTAATGTTGACTTGTTTTGTTGGGCCATAAATTGTACAACTGAAAGTCAAGAGCCATGTGCAGCGTGTTTCAGGGCCAGGATTGGCCCCAGGTGAGGCCAGGTTCATGCCTGTCCTGAAGTGAAACGAGGGCAGCTTGTTACTATCTTTGCCCTGGTTATTACTTATATTAGAAAATGGGACAGACGCTGTGTAAACAGTCACACTGAGCTCCAGCTCTAAACTGCTCAATCGGCAATTTTCCCAAAAACTCGCTTTTGTTTGCAAACAAGCAGCTCACTGCCCCCACACCTCATTCACAGAGTGTGAGGATGACTCAGAGTTGTGTAGTTGTAGGCTGCAGTGGTTAAGGTCACTGCTGCTACAGGACGTGTGATGATGACGATGATGAAGATGATGCTGTGTGTCGTGACTTCACCACTGAGGAATAACGTGTGTCCACTGCTGCTTTGGGTCAGTTTCGGTCCGGCCGACAGAAACTTGAAAGAATTCTGCAAATAAGTAATTCAGCAAGTCTACAGATGTAGTTAATCACTATTGAAGTTTTTTCTGTGTATAGTAAATAGTTTTGATGAAGTAGTACTAAAGACCTAAAGCATCTTGCCTTAAATCCCAAGAATATATTTACCCAGTAACCACACTCCCATATTATGTGGGTGTAAGCACGGACAGTAATGTGGCTGTTAGTGCAGCATCACTTCAGTGTTGAAGTACGGTGCAGCCAGTCTTCCTGTCAACATTGTACAACATCAAGGGTGCAGCTGCATCTTTAACAGCATCTTCTTGACTTCAGTGTGTTGTGTTGGCAGCTGAAGAAGGCTCTTTAAATTGTCAACAGTCAGGACTCACTCCAGTGTTTACAGTGTTATATATATATATATATATATGAAAACAAGTCTGTGTGCTCTCTTTAAGCCTCTCTGAGTGTGCATAACACATCGTCATCCACATCAAGGCTTCTTTCTATGATGGAGTCAGATTCGTGTATTGACAGCCATTTGTGATTTAGTTTTAGTCTTTTGACTAAATTGTAACTTAGTCTTAGTCCTAATGAATTTGTCAATAAATCTGTTTTGATTTGAGTTTTAGTCATGGTCTTTTGACTAAATTTTGACTTCCCAATAATTTAGTCACTAAACTTTTTATTTTAGTCTTAGTCTTGACTAAATTGTAACTTTCCCACTAATTTAGTCAATATAACTGTTTTGAGTTTAGTATTTTGACTAAAAGTTACTAAATATGTAACTTCATTTTAGTCCATGTTTACTAAATAAACCTGTTTTAATTTTCATTTTAGTTTAGTGTAATGTAATGTCACTTTTCTGTCCCAATAATCATTGTCATTAATGCTGAATAGAACTGACCGTCTCTTCAGATGCCCCCTCCTGTTTGTTTGTCATTCACCGTGTGTTTACATTATGACATGTACTGCATTGCCCTGTATCACATACTTCCCTGGGACTTTCCAACCAACCTTATTAACGTGTTGTTATTGAATGAAAGTGGTCATTTTGTGGTTCTATCATCTTGTGAGACCCAACCTCATCACCGGTCAAACAACACTTAGGAGCCCACTGTGGACAGGGTTCAGTTAATGGTCCATATATGGCTGTACAGAATGAAGTATTAATGAGTATTTCTCTTAGCGTTTTAAAAGGTTAATATTCTGTGAGGATTCTTTCAGTTTGTATCTAATTATAAAGTGTTCCAGTTACCAGATATAAACATGTTAAAAGAGAGTGGACCTAAATACAGACACTAATTGCTGATGAAATGTTTGCTTTGAGGCTTTGGTTATTATTGCTGTGAATTCCCCTGAGAGCAGTGACCTCACAGACTACTGCTCACGCTGTTCACATGACTCAACTTTGGTATAATGAGCCGTGCTGTGAAGGAGGGCTGTAATTCAATCTGTGCGTCTCATTCACCATAATGAAGTGGATTAGTGAAATACCTCACTTATGGCTGTAATGTGCTGCAGCTCGTCTCCTGTTAGAAGGTCTCTGTGATCAAATGCTACTCACTTTAAAGGGATTTATTTTGTGATCTGTACAGATGTTAAAACGATTTACTGGAGTCAGAGATGTAGAGAAACGTAGGAAGTGGTGGAGCAGTGGAAATGGAAATATTGGATCAGTACAGTACAGTTGTTCATTTCACAATTTAGTTATTCCAGGTTAACAAGTTAATTTTGAAAGTGCAAATGTGTACTAGAGTTGGCCCACCAGTATGTAGTCACTATATACTGACAGAATCTGTAGTATTAGTGGTGGTGGGCTATGTTATAGCACAACACATTTTTTGTTGTTGTTGGCCTGTGAAAAAAGATTTATATCAAAAAGGAACTCGAAAGTCTACAGATAACAAGACATAATAAGAAACAAATACCACTGATTTTGAACTTAATTTCTCTTGTGTCTATAATATTAAGCTTTGGTTGTTCCAGATTCACTGCTTTGCAAAACTAAAGTTTGTTTCCATATGAAAAAAATATACATTACATATCTGGAGAGAAGGGAAACACACACATTTGCCATCAATTTTTCAATAAATATTCAGCTTGGCCCGTGACTTTGAATTTGAGTTTGACCCCCCTGACCTAGATACTTGTCTCTCTTCCATTTCCTCTTCGCAGGTTAAAAAAAAAGCTCAAAACTTCAGACACAGTCAACGTCCAGCTTCACTCTTCTCTCCACCACCACCTCCACTCCTCTGAAGGAGCTTCTGTGCTGCTGCTGCCATGCCAAAGAACACTAAGGTGACCCAGCGGGAGCACAGCAATGAGCCCGTCACCGAGTCGGTGGCTGACCTGCTGTCCCTCGAACACCCCATGGACTATAAGAGCAGTCAGATGAGCATGGGCCTGAGCCCTGGCTCCACCGCCCCAGGAAAGGCACTGCTGCCCTCCCCGGACCCAGACGCTGAGGATGGCAGACCGGCCTGGAACAACAAGCTGGAGTACATTCTAGCACAAGTGGGCTTCTCTGTGGGCCTGGGAAACGTCTGGAGGTTCCCGTACTTGTGCCAGAAGAACGGTGGAGGTAGGTGGATGGATGTGAAGAGTGTGTGTTTTTTAACATCTGTGTGGAGTATGGAAATCTGGATTTATGGAGCAATGATTGTCTTTGAACGATACCAACATTTTAGCAATCGTTGAATTAGAACAAACAAGGTTGTTTTTTCACGGCCTTAAAAGCTCCTAAATGAATTCATCAATGCAAATAATTTCTATGATACAAAGCAATGTGAGTATCCCCATAGCCACCTGCCTCCTACTGTAAATAATACCATAACCAAAAGATCAATAAGAGAAGAAATACATATGTGATTCTCATCCCAGTATGAACCTCATGAAAATATTAAAAATGGATTTTTACTCCATGGACAGACCCTCCAGCCTGCTGTAAAAACACACACTGTATGTACCTTTTTACATTAAGTTAAAATAATCATTTAGATTGTGTTTGTTCTGATGCCAGAACTGATACTGTTTAACTTTGTTGACAAGCGTGCGGTTCACTCAACAGAAGGATTTACTGTTATTGTTACGGATTTTGAGCCTTTAAATTTACATGAGGAACAGGAGGGATGAGCGACATGCTTTTACATCAGCCCAAAGAAGATTACATAAAACACGATGATAAGATAATCCTCCAACTGCAGCAACGTGTAACGATACAGTCATAAATAATAACAGTGGTAATGCACATGAAGGCACCCAGAGAGTGAGGTGACCTTAAATGAGACTTTGTATTTTTGGTTGTAATAATAGTAAATTATACATATGATTATATGTATATATATATAGGCTTTCATAGGAATGTTAAGTTGACACAACTAGCTATTTCTCAGTAGAACTAACTGTACCTTTGAATCATCACACAACATTTTTAATAGTAAAAACTGAGGTCTTTGTTTTTAACTAATCATAAAAAAACAAACACTGACATATCATTAAATGACCAGTACACATTTTCTATTTCTAAGTTTTTAAAGTTCCTTTTCACCGGTTGGTGAGGAACTTCTGTTCTTTGATAAATTGCGTGTCTCCTCGACAAATTCGTCCTCTAATGGTACATGTCAGGCTCTTCAGTGACGTCCTAATGGACTGTGTCATCAGCAGCTTCAGGAGGAGGAGCTTCTCCATAAATAGAACTTTCAGTTTAATTGATTTTTATGAAAAGGTGGTGACAACACTGGGAGAAACAGGAGAGTAAACACTGGTTTTACCAACATTGTGTCTCTGACCTTGAATGTGTGTGTGTGAGGTGGGAGAGCTGCAAAGGCTATTATTGAAATGCGTGATTAAACAAAGCAGAGTGTGTGTGTATGTGTGTATTTGGACCATTTTAATCAGAGAGTGTGTGTCTTGGTGAGTGTGTGTCCCTGACGCTCTCTGTCAGGTCTGGACTTGTCTCTGTAATGAGGACAAAATGCTTTTTCTGGCTAACTTCCCAACACAGTGCAGTGGGTTGTGTCTGTTACAATAACAGACACTACAAACATTTAGTAGTAAAATACACATTTTAAAAAGTGCAGCTTCAGGTAGATAGTTATTTAAATTAATTTAAAAGTTCTGTGTAAACATGTCCTGGTTTCTTTGCTTCTCTGTGTGAGAATCTTTGGTTGGTGGACAAATAGAGAGGACATTTGTAACCACAGTAATTTTCCACCTGTCCATTTGGTTTGTCCTTTGTTGGAATAGACGTCAACACAGAAGGTTCTTACAACACAGATAAATCCTCCAGTCTGTGTTTTCTCTGTGTTTTCTGTACTGCTGTTGCCTCTAATGGCCACTCAAACCTTTGTCCGAACTTTTGATTCACCCATAAATAACCATTATTTATATTTAGAGTAAAAGCCGGTGTCCGTCAGTCGCAGCCCGTCCCCTGTGACTTTGGATGGTTGGTAACCATGGTGTCCCTTCATGTCTTGGCGTAAGCAGGACTGAACACGGTCTGTCTCTCTCCTCTGTCTCTGCGACAGATACAGAGGCCAATGACAAAGTGGTGAATGGAAATGAGATGATAGATGATAGAAGATCAAAACAGACACAGAGCGAGGAAAAGGATGAGAATAAAGAGGAAAAGAAAGTGGTTTCTAACATAGAACCTGAAATAGATTTTTTAAAAATGTCCCACCTTTCGTGGTATTTTAGGACTTGTTCGTCAATACACATGATTTTTGAAAACCTAAAATAAGCACCAATCACTGCAGTCGGTGATCTTTCCTCTTCTCCATGACTCTCCTCTGTCTCAGGTGCATACCTGGTGCCCTACTTCATTCTCCTCCTGCTCATTGGCATTCCCTTGTTCTTCTTGGAGCTGGCTGTGGGTCAGAGGATCAGACGCGGGAGCATCGGTGTGTGGAACTACGTCTACCCACGGCTGGGAGGAATCGGAGTTTCCAGTCTGATGGTACGTGACAACGGAATACAGTCTGTCAAGTGAAAGAATATCAAATTGTTTCAAGTGGGGACGATTGTAAAAGACCTGGGACCACCTGGTAATTCAGCAAACAAACTGCAGTCCTACAAATACTACCTTCTCATAGGACCTAAGACCCAACATGAGCAGAGGTTAAGAACCTTTATGTCTACATGTCCTCTGACCCCTGAGTTAAAACCATCAACTGTCACTGGTCCACTGAGAGTGATTTCATCTATCCAGTGTTAGAGCGGCAGTGTGGGGTTAGGCCTGGGGCAGTGAGGCGTGTGGCAGTTTGGATGTGGCATATAGGCAGATTCAGCAGCTATAAATAAACATCTTCTCAGAGAAGGCCTGGGTCCAGGCTGCTGAGAGCAAACAGCTCAATTATTCATGCATTCTCTGGTTGGAGCTGTGTACTCAGAGCCTGTGGCCTATCACCAGAAGACGACTTCACCACCTTGTACGTTCATTTTTAGACGTGACTCATGACCTTGTCTGCTCTATTTCCCCTTAGGTCTGCGGTTTTGTCGGCCTCTACTATAATGTGATTATTGGTTGGAGCATCTTCTATTTTTTTAAGTCTTTCCAGTATCCACTGCCTTGGGCTGAATGCCCCATCGAGAGAAATGGAACCCAAGCCAGTGAGTCAACACTACATCGTTTCTAACACAACAAAAATGAGAACATATTTACATCCAAACACATATTTTACTGTAAAGACTTTGACACAGGAGGAGAAAACTGCTTTTAGACGAAAGTGAGATTACTTTTAATTACTTAACGATAACTTTAAACCATAAATATGACCTAGCTGCTAACCTTTAAGCTACGAGTGCTTACAGCTGTCAACTATAAATGAGATAAGCAATGTTAAAAGATATCGAAATGCCAAAAGTTTGCACAAATACAGCTAAAAGTTTGCCATAGACCTATAGAAATATGTCATCAGTGCTGGGCTAGCCAAAGAAAAGCTATGATTTAGCTGAAGAGATGAAAATAATAAATAATATGAAATAATAATTAATAAAAAATATAATAAAAAATAATATGAAGCTGAAATATATACAGATAAGCTTAAAACTAGCTTGTTAGCCAAGATAGCTAAAAGCTAAAAGTTGTGACAACAGAGAATTAATATCATAATGACCAAATAGCCTACATGCTAATGTTAGCAAAGCTAAGCTAAACATGTGACCTAATCTAAAGTGTTAGCATATGGTGGTGTCTATTAATTTATCAATTATTTTCTTCTCTGTTCAAGTCGTGGTGCCCGAATGTGAGAAGAGCTCGGCCACCACTTACTTCTGGTACCGTCAGACTCTCAACATAACCAGCACCATCGACGACACCGGCGGCCTGAACTGGAAGATGACCCTGTCTCTACTGGTGGCTTGGATCATGGTCTGTTTGGCCGCCATCAAAGGCATCCAGTCGTCTGGAAAGGTACAACGATATTTAAATATTATATAATATATAATTAATGTTTCTGACGGAGACACAAAGGAAAAGGAAAAGTTCCAGTCTTTCCAGACTTAATCTTTTGAGTAAAAATTAATCTTTTGTGGTTATGTGAATGCAGTAAACGTCTACACATTTGCTGCTATTGCTAACGTGTTCAAATAAGTTCACCTTACCCACTGTGACAAAAATAAAGACATTAAATTAAATTTCCTTCGCTGTGTCCCACCTGGAATAGCGCCACATCTTGACTGGTGTTTGTTCATACATCACACAGTCGATATACCACAGCCTATTAATAGCACTAATTAAACTTTGGGCTGACTGAACTAAAACTGACTGAAGCAACATCTATGAATGTGGCTCCAAAGAGTGAGTCATACACGACTTTCTTAGTGATCTAATGAAGTACACAGAGAAGAAAACTGGTCCAGAAACATTTTCCACATTTGATGAGAGGTTTCACATTCAGCGAGCAGCAAACATGAGACAGTTTTTTTTTGGGACGTAGTCAGCTTTGGTGTGTGTTATCACAGTTCATCCCATTCATGTGTGCAGCATTTAGAAAATTGTGTCCATGGCAACATGGTGTGATGCACTGACTCTCCCTCCCTCTTCACCTCCCCCTCCTCCAGGTGATGTACTTCAGCTCTCTCTTCCCCTATGTGGTGCTGTTCTGTTTCCTGGTGCGAGGTCTGTTCCTCAAGGGAGCGGTGGACGGAATCGCCCACATGTTCACCCCTAAGGTGAGAGCAGAAACTGCACTGGTGAACAAAAAAATCAATCATTCTTATATTTATTGAGGGAAATCATCCCACAGTGTCAGAACGGAACAAGTCTCCAGACAATAGAACAGACTGAGGATGACGTCACTTGATCAACAGTTGATCTGTGCAGAGTGTTCAGCCTCAAGTGGCAGATGGTTTCATCCTCTTCACCGCCACCGGTGCCATTTACATTCACTGATAGAAAATGTCACCTCGACGTTATGTCAGAGTTTAGTTTATACCTCCCCCTAGTGGCGAATATGCAAAGTTGATCATAGGCTTTATTTACTAGAAACAATGTTTTAATAAAAAAAAACAATATACATGTATTTAATTTATTTCTTATATCTGTGAAGATTTGAGAAGAATAACACATTTCAAGAGAACACATTTCAATGCACAAAGCACTTTATATTTCTGCAATTGTGACAAATAAAACTTTCATTTTTTAAAAAAGTAAATTAATTTTGACACACTAATTTAAAAGTCCACTGCCTCGGGTGAGCTCTTAACATTAACATTATCACAAACACATGTTTTGTACAGTATATCCATATGAGCTATATTTACATGTACTTTAAACCCCTTAGTACCATGGAGTACATTAGAACACAACATTATACACATTTTTCAAAATACAACTTTTTCAGTATATGTTTAATGTCTGGTAGCTCTTTACATTTCTAAGGAATGACTGAGGACCAGCCTGCAGGCCAACATCAGACCTCGGCTGTTGTCTGTGTTTTAAATAAAAAACTACATTGAATCTAACTAAACATGTCATTGTTTTCCACCATCTTGTCTCCAGCTGGAAAAGATGTTGGAGCCTCAGGTCTGGAGAGAAGCAGCCACACAGGTCTTCTTCGCCCTCGGTCTGGGCTTTGGAGGCGTCATCGCGTTCTCCAGCTACAACAAGAGAGACAACAACTGCCATTTTGATGCTATTCTAGTCTCCGTCATCAATTTTATTACATCCATCCTGGCTACTTTAGTCGTGTTCGCTGTGCTGGGCTTCAAGGCTAATGTAATGAATGAGAAGTGTGTTGTCGAGTGAGTGTGTCACACACAGTTACACAACCAACCAGCCTTTCTTTCTCTTGTTTGACACATCTTTCCTTAATGACATGTTCATCTTCTCTGTAGGAACGCTGAGAAGATCCTGGGCTACCTGAACACCGGTGTGCTGAGCCGAGAGCTCATTCCTCCTCACATCAACTTCTCCCACCTGTCTACTCAGGACTACGCAGAGATGTACGGCGTGATTAAGACAGTGAAGGAGGACACCTTTGGTCAGCTGGGCCTGGACGCCTGCTTGTTGGAGGATGAGCTCAACAAGGTCGGCAGAGCAGTTATTGTGGAGTGGCTACTGTTAATTGCTGGGTGTAATAAGTGTGGAATAAAGTTGTAAGACAAATTTAAAATATCCACTGGTCTAAACAAGGTTGCAGGGATAATTCATTTTATGTAGATTTTTTTGGAAATCTTTTCTATCAAGTCTGATTCTGGTCCTTTGACTCATCTTAAATTAATATAAATCATCTTTAAGTTTTGGGGAAAAACCCCTGTTGCAAAATCATGTGTTTCTATTTCAGTTTGGTTTATTTTATTTTTAAAAAAATGCCTTTTTATGGTTTAAAAAGCTGTTATAGAAACCTGACACACACATGCATTAAAATTGATCACCTTTTAAATGTATAATGTCCGTCTTAGAACATTCTGACCATGCCTCGTGCTCTTTTCTCCTTCTCTGATTATCCAGTCTGTTCAGGGCACTGGTCTGGCATTTATAGCTTTCACTGAGGCCATGACACATTTCCCTGCCAGTCCCTTCTGGTCTGTCATGTTCTTCTTCATGCTGATCAACCTGGGGCTGGGAAGTATGATTGGCACAATGACCGGCATCACCACACCCATACTGGACACGTTCAAGATCCGCAAGGAGATCCTTTGTGGTAGGAGTGGATTTTAATAACATGATCTCACTGTTCTACACTGTTCTTCAGACTGGACGTTTGACGTGGTTCTCTTCCTCTCCCTCAGTGGTCTGCTGTGTGATAGCCTTCTTGTTAGGCCTGCTCTTTGTGCAGCGGTCTGGGAACTACTTTGTCACCATGTTTGACGACTACTCAGCTGGTTTGCCTCTGATCGTGGTCGTGATCTTAGAGAATATCTCTGTGGCCTGGATCTATGGCACAAAGAGGTAAGATGAAGATGAAGATGAAGAGCTCTTCAGACTCAGCCTATATTTAGCAGAACTTTCACACTTATTATAAATTTATCACCTTCTTCATCTGAGGGAAGATGATTTTTTTCTCTGCCCGCTAACCTCAACTGAGCCTGAT